TCAAAAGACAGAGGGTGACTGAAAGGATTAAAATAACAAGACCCATCTATATGCTGACTATAAGAGACGCACTTCAGACCTAAAGATACATGCAGACTGAAAATGAAGGGATAAAAAACATATACATACATGCAAGTGAAAAAAAAAAAGCTACAGCAGCAATCCTTCTATCAGACAAAATAGACTTTAAAACAAAGACTGTTGCAAGAGAGAAAGAAGGGCACTATATAAAGGGAAAATACATCAAGAAGATGTAACAATTTTATCTATGCACCCAACATGGGAGCACCAAAATATATAAAGCAATTATTAACATATAAAAAGGGAGAAACTGATGGGATTACAGTAATAGCAGGGAACTTTAACACCCCATTTATATCACTGGACAGACATTCCGAACAGAAAATCAACAAGGAAATAGTGGCTTTCAATGACACATTAGACCAGATGGACCTAACAGATACATACAGAACATTCTATCCAAAAACAGCAGAATGCACATTCTTTCCAAGTGCACATGGAACATTCTCCAGGCGAGATCACTTGTTAGGCCACAAAACGAGTCCCAGTAAATTTAATAAGACTGAAATCATATCATGCATCTTTTCTGACCACAAGAATATGAAACTAGAAATCAGTTACAAGAAAACTGGAAAAAAGCACAAACAGATGGAGGCTAAACAACATGGTACTAAACAATGAATGGGTAAACCAAGAAATCAACGAAGAAATAAAATACATGGAAACACAACTGTCCAAAATATTTAGGATGCAGCAAAAGCAGTTCTAAGAGGGAAATTTTATAGTAATACAGACATACCTCAAGAAACGTAAAAACTCAAGCAAACAACTCAACCTTACACCTAAAGGAACTAGAAAAACAAGAACAAACAAAACCTAATACTGGTAGAAGGAAGGAAATAATAAAGATCAGAGAACAAGCAAATGAAATAGAGACTTAAAAAAAAAAAACCCACAAAAAAACAAAACCAAAACAATAGAAAAGATCAAGGAAACCAGGAGCTGGTTCTTTGAAAAGTTCAACAAAACTGATAAATCTTTAGGCCAGACTCACCAAGAAAAAAATAAGAGAGAAGACCAAAAATAAAATGAGAAATGAAAAAGGAGAAACTGACACCACAAAAATACAAAGGATTATAAGAGATTATGAAAAAATTATATGCCAAGAAATTGGACAACATAGAAGAAATGGACAAATTCCTAGAAACATGTAACCTTCCAAGACTGAATCAGAAAGAAATAGAAAATTTGAACAGACCAATTACTAGCAGTGAAATTGAATCGGTAGTCAAAGAACTCCCAACAAACAGAAGTCCAGGACCAGATGATCTCACAGTGAATTCTACCCAGCATTTAAAGAGTTAATACCTATTCTTCTCAAACTATTCCAAAAAATAGAAGAGGAAGTAAAACTTCCAAATTCATTCTATGAGGCCAGCATTAGCCGGATACCAAGACCAAATAAAGACATTACAAAAAAAGAAAATTATAGGCCAATTTCCATGATTAACATAGATGAAAAATCTTCAACAAAATATTAGCAAACTAAAATCAGTAATACATTAAAAAATCATTTACCACAATCAAGTGGGATTTATTCCAGAGACACAATGGTGGTTCAATATTCACAAGTCAATCAATGTGGTACATCAAATCAATAAGATAAAAGGATAAAAACTGTATGATCATCTCAACAGATGCAGAAAAAGCATCTGACAAAGTACAACATTCACTCATGATAAAAACTCCCAACAAAGTAGATTTAAAGGGAATATACCTCAACATTATAAAGGCCATATGTAAAAAACCCATAGCTAAAATTATACCCAATGGTGAAAAACTGAAAGCTTTTCCTATAAGAACAGGAACAAAACAAGGATGCCTATTCTCACCACCTTTACTCAACACAGTATGGGAAGTCCTACCCAGCAATCAGACAACAAGAAGAAATAAAAGGCATCCACACTGGTAAGGAAAAAGTTAAACTTTCACTATTTGCAGATGAAATGATTCCATATATAGAACACTCTAAAGACTCTACCAAAAAACTACTAGAACTGGGATCAAGCCCCACATCAGGCTCCCTGCTCAGCCAGGAGCCCGCTTCTCCCTCTCCCTCTGCTGCTCCCCTGCTTATGCTCTCTCACTCTGTCAAATAAATAAAATCTTTTAAAAAACCCACAAGAGATAGATATGGCTAGAGTCAGAATCTTACACTTGTGAGAATGGTTAGAATAAAAAAGATAAGAAATAACAAGTACCGGCGACGATGTAGAGAAAAAGGAACACTTGTGGACTGTTGGTGGGAATGCAAACTGGTGGAGCCACTGTGGAAAAACAGTATGGAGGTTCCTCAAAAAATTAAAAATAGAATTACCATATGATCCAGTAATTCCATTACTGGGTATCTACCCAAAGAAAATGAAAACACTAATTCCAAAAAATATGCACCCCTATTTCTACAGCATTATTAACGATAGCCAAGAGAGGAAAGCAACCCAAGTGTCCACTGATAAAGATGTTGTGTATACACACACACACACACACACACACACGAATATTACTCAGCCATAAAAAAACAAGATCTTGCCATCTGCAACAACATGGATGGACCACAGGGTATAATATTAAATAAAATAAGTCAGATAAAGGCAAATGCCATAGAATTTCACTCATTTATAGAATTTAAAAAACAAAACTAACAAAGAAAAAGAGAAACAAAAAACAGACTCAAATACAGAGAATAGAGAGAGGGAAGTTGGGGGCATGGGTGCAACAAAAAAGGGGGTTAAGAGTACACTTGTCTTATGAGCACCGAGTAATACATGGAACTATTGAATCACTACATTGTACACCTGAAACTAATATAACACTGTAGGTTAACTACTCTGGAGTCAAAATTTAAAAAAGAATACATTTATCATGATGGGCACTAATGTATAAAATTGCTAACCTGTTATATTCAACATCTAAAACTAATATAACACTGTATGTTAATTATACTTCAATAAATAAAACGCACCCTTCATTTCTTTCCCAGCACTCCACAATTTCCTGTACTCTGCCCTTTCTCCTTTTTCAATCACCCGTATCTTCTAAAATGGTATAAAATTTCATGTTTATCACGTGGTTTGTCTCACTCCACTAGATTGTAAACTCAGTGAGGGTAGTGATCTTTTTTATATTTCATTCACTGCTATACGCAAGTGTCTCAAATGGAACCTGACGCAACACTGGTACTCAAATACCTATGGAATTAATTGCGTGGATGGAGACGTGGAGCTTCATTGGTATGACCAAAGGGAACAACTACACAAGGAAAATGTGTCCAACCGGCAAGCAGAGTCCTCTTAGAAGTAAGGGCTGTGGGCCTGGCTACATAATTAGCAAGTGCCACTTCATTTCCCTGTAAGGGATGCTGAATATACCCATTAACACTCCTGATAACGGAGCAAGGTTTATGGAACAAAGGAACAATCCAGGCATCCTGACTACTGCTCATCTTTTCTACTATCATTGAGATGGCAGAGGAGTATCAATTTCTGTCCCCATCTTTTGGACTGTAGAAGCATAATAATGTTCATGTTTCTGAGTACCTCCCACTACCATGCTGGTGGGGGTGGAAAATGCACTCATTATATTTCCCTATCTTCCTAAATCACAACTAGAGCTGTTTTAATTTTAATAATGGTTTCACTAAAAAAAACAAAAAACAAAAAAAAAACACCCTACTATGTACCAATCCCAGAGATAAGTGCTTTTGTCTGGAACAATGCCAAGAAACAAAGGGCTAAAGAAGTCAGGTCAATTTCCTGTCATTGATATAAATTCAACACAATAGGTTTCTTTGTGAATGTCTAATGTTGGCCCTTTTACTGCCTTGAAAATGGTCTCAATGATAGTCTCCAAAATTGACTAACCTAAGTAAAATCACAGCTATATAGGATTTAAAAAACAAACAAACCCTCTTTAATCCCTACCATGTAAATAATGGTTACATTAATATCACCTATACTTCTAATCTTGACCACCTAATAGATTTATTCTAGTATGACAATAAAAACTGTTGTTAAGGGAAATGAGGAAAGAGCATAGGAATTATTACTCTTAGCATTTAATAGTGTTAGTGTCTTGATGCTTGTTTGCATTTGCTTGGAATAAGTATCTCAGGAAAAATTAAGTTCTAAGCTGAGGCAACCATTTGAAATCCCAGAAAGGGCTCCTGGGAATAGTTTGGCTTTTTTGTGACAATAGATTCTCTGATGAAGTACACCATTCCCTAATGAGAAAGACCTGGCACTGCTTCATGTGAAAAAAATTTTGACCAAGGCAAGGAATGGGATGATCAGTCTGGGAATGAGTGTTTTAATAAAAGAAAGATGAAACTGGCTGTGCTTTGGCAGGACATACCCCCAAACATCCTGAGAGCCATTGTCCTGGCCCACAGATGATGCCCACACACTGCAACTGTGCAGGTTCCCACTGACATCTGACAATGCTGGCATGGGGACAAAGACCTGATCCAAAAGCAGTCATGGTGGATTCTGCTTCACTAGAGTCACATGTAAAACAAACCAACTTCCCTGCCTCCTCCCCCCACCAAAAAAAAAATCCTACCAGGGGAACAGATCTGAGGCTCAGCTCAGCTACTCACTCTGTACAGTTCTCGGGAAGTGTATAAACAGGGACACGGAGATAGCAATTGTAGGAAGGAAAAGGCAAATCTTTTAAAAAGAGTGATGCAGTCAAGTGTGATAAATGTGAAATAAAGAAGATGCAAAAAGTGGACCCTGGATGATCCAGGTCACAGGACTGTTAAACATTTTAACTCTGGAACAATGAACAGGTCAGCTAGTTTAGGCGGGGATCACACTTGCTTGTAACCACATTTTATAAAAGGATACCAATGCAGTAAGATTTTTACTATAGTGATAATACTGAAGTTTTCATATTCATTCATAAAAATGAGTTTACATTACCCGCAGAAATGCTTGATGTGTTCTGCAGTTAGCTCCTCTGCTTGACACTTTTATGCTGCCTGTGATCACATCCGACGTTCCATTAGAAGAAAAGTAAAATCTCGATGGAGAGTCTATCTTCCGGTTCACATCCAGACTCATGTTATAAAACAAAACTGCAAAATGCAGAGAGAATTGCAATTAATATAAATAATTCCCTAAAAGATTATTATTTTTAAGTGAAAATAGTCAAAATTATATCCCAACACTAGAAGTATCTTAAATTATCTTCATTAAAAGGCTTTTAAAAACTAGCCTAAAATATGGAAGAGGAAACAATTTAAAAATACTGATTGCTAAAATTGTTATAAAAAATTTACAAACTTTTCTCTAGGTTTCTACTTTTTTTTTTTTTTTTTAAGATTTTTTCTTTATTTGACACACAGAGAGAGACAGACACAGCGAGAGAGGGAACACAAGCAGGGGGAGTGGGAGAGGGAGAAGCAGGCTTCCCACGGAGCAGGGAGCCCGACTCAGGACTCGATCCCAGGACCCCGGGATCATGACCCAAGCCAAAGGCAGATGCCTAACCGACTGAGCCAGCCAGGCGCCCTCTAGGTTTCTACTTTTAACTATTAACATCTTCATTTACTTAATCTTCCTACATATAAATGTTTCAAAACTACAATACTAAAACTGTGACTCCTAATAAAAGTTCTGAGCAAAGTTTCAGATTTCTCTGGAGTCCTTTATGCCCTTCGAATATCCAACTAAGGAAGCATAGACAGAACACCGCACCCAAACGCCACTTGCGATAATTCTAGCTTGTGTGGTTACATAACTAATTTTGTATATGGTTAGGCTCATTTCTTTCTGTTTGTTTCTGATTTGAGAGGTTGCTATTTATTATTTTTTAAAATGTAATGCGAACATTACAAACCTTTATCAACAGTTTACTCAAAGATGTCTCCTTTTCCACCCTGGACCCTGATTAATCTCCTCTGTGTTCTCACTGGTTTCCAGTTTGACCTTCCAGTGTTGATTTGTGCAAAATAGTGACATTCTCTCAATATTCTGTCAGTCTGGTAAGATTTACTTCAAATCTGACATAGTAAATAATCATCTGCTAATGATTATCCTCAACCAGCAAAGATCTAAGTAAAATTAACAAGCAACCAAAAAAATTCCAAGCCAGATATCACCAAGAAAGAGCCATTTTTTAAATCTAAAAGGGTTCTTTGCAAAACAAGCTGCATCTAATAGTTTGCTGAGATATCACTCATTATATAGGAGCAATAATTCATAAATGATATTTTAAAGGATTTATTTAATTCCTGAAGTGTTCGTTCACATTTGAGGAGTAACTTACTCTTCTGGAAGGATTTTATCTACTAATGTCAAGGCAACAGAAGTATAAAACCTGTATTACTCCTACAAACTTCAAATGAATCTTTTAACCTTACTTTTATTTAGAAAATAAATAACAAAGTCCAAGTCAATTGGCTTCAAAATTACAATAGCTGAGATTCAGTGCCTCAGAGGTGGCGCTGCAATTGAAACGATCTACAATTCATCACTGTGAGTTCACACAAAAAGTAAATAAAAAAAAGGTGAATAAAAACCCATTCGCAGTAAGTGGCAAAACAACCTGGTTTTATAAACATGCTTACCATGTGAATTATTTCTCCCAAGGACTCATTTTATGCAACTGTAAAGCTTGTATTTGTAACAATGCTGTGATTATTTATGAGTTTCATATATTTGTTTTCAATGATTTTTAAAAATGTCTGCTCACAATGGAATTGGTAGTTGGACAAGCACTGATTTTGCATAAAGAGAAAGAGTCGTATCTGCTTAACATGTATTGTTCAGATAATCCATCAATATGACTGTGTTACTGGGGCCATGCTCTGACATTGCCACTTCTCCGATCTGTAACCTTAGATTAAGGTTTTGCCCACTGTCCTACCACTGTGGCTCTAGCCAGGACTTCTGCAGTGCACTATTAAAAATGAGCCCGATCTAAAGTAGATCTACTAGGCTCATTCTGTACTTCTCATTACAGGCTAATTCGGACTGAGACCTCTGAAACTATGCACCCGTAGTTTGGTTCAGCGTATTTGCTGCCCCTCATGATGTTCAGATGATGAGAGACTGCAGGGTCACGAATATAATCAACTCTTAACAGATCTTGCGTGGCTCCTGAACTTTATATATTATTAACGTCCAAATAAAAAACCTGGGTATGCTTCTCCCCTACCATTGGCTAGTTTCATCAGTCATTCTAATATTAGCTTAAGTATAACATAAACAGGAACATAACCTGCTAGAAAAAATGTAATATACACAAAGTCACGTGTATGTGATTTGACATTAACCACAATTTTGCATGAGCCAGATCAATGCTACTTTCTCCAGAGCAGATAACTGAGAGCTGCCTATGTAAAGGGAAAGGGACATGGCTCTCAGGAGCTGACAGTCACAGAACATCTTTAAGAGATGTGTGTTATTTATGGAAACTGGAATCAGCGTCTAGATTTGAGATAAGCTTCTTCAGTTACTCAAAGGATAAAATATAAAGAAAAGAATCTTCTCCCTCTCAGGACTTCCAACTTAAGCCAGCTTCAGCTATAAAAGGAGCCCAGTTAAATGGAGGAGAAGCTATGGGACTGTTCTTTCTATTCTAAAGAGATCTTACCTATGAAGCTCAGTTTAGCTCACCCTAATATAGCAAGTGATACTCCTGCTTTTCTTCTTGTCATAACTTCTAGACAAGGATAGCCTCCTACGGTGCCCCTCTCGTCGGTAAGAACAACACAAGAACCCAAGAGATGAGGCAGAAAGGTGTACTGGCCTCTAAGGTGAGACACACTGAGGGCTCAGAAGAGGACCACAAGATGAGTGAGTGGGGTGCACACTCAGGCAGGGTAAGTTCTGTAAGGGCACCCTTACCAATATAACCTGGAACCTCTTTGCCCTTGTATGAGAAACAGAGTGTTAGATCCATGCACACAGAAGGCAATCCATTTTCAACACAGTCAAAATTTGTTCTATTTACTGACTCAGGATGGTTTAAGGAAGCTTCGACAATCACTACAGGTCTTGTCCTAAAAAGGAAATAAAATTAGCAATATTAACTGCAGAATTATTTTTTCCTTAAGAAAAAAACTGCATTTGTTTTGTCAGTTGCCATCATCCAAGTAACTTCATGAAATTGCTTTATTAACACTATGTGCATATACACTCAATTACATTTCTGTGCATGAATCAAGAGAAATTTTCTTTTAAATGCCTAAAAATATTGACTTTGCTTGATGGTTTAATTATAATATCCACGTAAGGTGGAAAGGGTATCCTAAAGTTCAATAAAATTTCAGAAAAATAAAAAAAAGGCATTATGAGGTCACCACCATCGCTGATTTTAAAAATTGCCTATCATTTACAATTAAGCCCAATTGTCATTAAGCAGTAAAATGCATCAACCTTACCTTAACAACACAGCAGAATCAGACCGAAAAGCACCAACTGCCACATCTGGAGGATGAAAAACAACAGATTAATGAACATCATTAGTCAAAGAGAATTATTTTTCAGCCATGAATACTTAACTATGTTTCACCTTTTGACTGTATCAAAACACCATTTACAGAAAATTAATTAGAAAAGATATACTTACATCTGAGGATTCATTCCACCTTTGTCTGAGTCTATTCATCTATGATAATATCCATCCCTTTACTATAAACAAACTTTCTGATAGGAATAAGATATAAAGATAAGCTTACTAAAAATATATTCAATTTTTAAACTACAAACATTCACCTAGGAATCTCCTCTCAAAGTACAAAAAAATGTCTTTCTTTTCAGCATCTTATGTTTGATTTATTTTCATGGGTGCTTTTCATTTTTTCAAGAACAAAGAATAAAATGTCAAGTAACTAACACTGTAAAGCTGAGGAATTATTTGATCGTTTTTGACCCATCCTTGAATTCAAAAGAGCTTTAAAAATGAAGGAAATAAATTACCAGTAGATTAGAACTTTTCCATACCAGTTTTATGTACTTTGCAATAAAGCAACATCCACAATAGAGCTCAATTTATGAAATATGATTTTATACTCACCTACATAACCATTATTATCTGCATCAATTTGTCCAGATATAGACTGTCCAAACATGCTTAATGATTTGCTGATTTGAAGTCCTTCAATTCTCTGAAAAATAAGTAAGTTCAGTAGGAAGCAGTTTTTGAACATCTGATATCTCAGAGAAGCCATGATTTAGTTAAATAATGAGCCTTACAACACCCAGGCACGTTTTCTAACAAAATGCATTCAAGTCAAACACATGCATCTAAGAGAAACAAAAGTTTCCAGTTTGAATTGGGCAGGTGACAGCTACTTTGTGACTAGAAGAAAAAAATCACTTTGTGACTAGAAAAAAAAAAATCACAAAGAGAAAATTATGTAGTACAGATCTTCTTAACCAGCCTTGACTCCCTCTCCCCAGTCTCCTTTCAGGCTCTGTATTTATTTCCCGGATGAACATGAAAAACCAAAGAAGTAGTTTGGAAAAGGAGACATGCATAATCACTTAGTGGAGCCTACTCCTCAGGCTTATGATGAAAGCCACCCTATTGAGCCAGACTGTTTCCTAGCATGTGACAACTGAAGTCAGACATGGGTTTCCTATTCCATAGGTCTAATTTCACATCCAGATGCTGATTTACATGTATCAGCCTGCTATCCATGCTAAGAAAATCAGTAATTTTTACAAGTATAGATTTCTCATGTTAAATATGGAGAACCATTTGCCCATTTTGCTCCACCAAAAATAACAGTATTAGCTAATATTTCCATAAAAGTATCTTTAGAAAAACTTCTCTGCATGTGTATGCAGTGTTTTCTATGTACCGAAATACCCTGATTTGTCAAAAAACAAAAATCAGAGTAAGATCAGGGAACTTTATTAAAAGCTTCCATCTTGAAGTTGCGCCCTGAAAGGAACAGAGTATCATGTATTCGCTCTCCCAGTGTGACCTCCCTGAAATATGGGGCTTTAGGCACAAGGCAAGACACAGTTAATCAAAGCCACATGGGCTTATTCAAAACAGTATGGAAACCATCTCAGAACATAAATTTGCGGAACACAAAGAAAATCTTCAGTAGGTTAAAAACAAAGAAGAATGAATGGAACACTACATCAAAACAAACAAACGAACGAGAATGGATGTGAACCAAGACTCTTACTTATGGAAAAAAATGATTTCAAGAGTTATTAACAACCTTCAAAATGAGACCACCTACTCTTATCATAAGAAAAGGGTGAAATAGAAGATATTAAATACTTGAAACAGCAAATTAAAAAAAATAAGTCCACACTAACACTGGAAGTTTCAGGAATCATTTATTATCGATGCTTCTTTCAGAAACAGTAGTATTCTACCTGTGAGAACACTGATGATATCCCATCTGCTCGGCCGTTGTAAATATAAATAGCACCTCGCAAGTCATCTTCTTGTGGAGCTCCAATCGCGACATCTATTCCAGAATTTCAATGGCAAAAAAAAAATAAATTCTTAGTATAAAGAATGCAACTCTGAAAACTAACTTTCATACTTAATTCATATCACATAAAATTTCTTATCAAAAAAACCCAAATACTTTACTCATTAGACAGAAAAGAGTATCACAAAATAAGTATTATCATAACAATGTACAGGACTGTGCAGAATCATCTGTGCATCAAAGTAGCTGGGTGAACAGGTCTGAGACGCGCTCTAACACAATGGTCAAGGACGTGGGCTCTCCAGCCAAACCACCAAAGCCTGACCCCCAGCCAGGCCCATTTCTTAACTTCATCGTGTCTCAGGTCCCTCACCTATAGCATCGGATCATAAGAGAAGAACTCACCCTCAGCATTGGATGTAGCTCATGTAAAGTGTTTAGAGCAGACCCCAGCACATAAATTATCATCTGTGAATATTATAACCCTAAGATTCTTTATTTTGAGCTCTGGGTTTTACTTTATTTGCAAAATGACTTCTAAATTCCTGTTCCAGTGAAAGCAATTAAGGTATTTGTTAAGGATATCTGTATTTATACATGTACATACATGCAAACTGGATTTTGGAAAGTGAATTTGTTCTGTAAAGTAATGAGGGCATCACTTTTATGACTTGGGATTCACATCAGATTATGATGCCAGGAGAAAAAATAATCAACTGACATAAGCAAGAGAAAACAAACTATGAATGACATGGTTGCTTAAGGGCCATAAATATAAAACGCACAGGAGAAAAATAACATTCTATAGTTGCAAGAGCATTTCATTAGTGTTACAAGGTATTATGTCTATTTGGGTATATTCATGTGTTTATTTACACATAATGTTTTCTTGTTACTTCAACAGAAACGTAAAATACAGAAAGTTTGCTTTCATGATAGTCAATACTTACTAGTTTATCAGATTTAAATCTTTAACAACTACAGTAGTAATTTCTGACTGCTATTTCAATGAGAATAAAAACCTTCCTGAAATATAATTCTATGCCAAATGCAGTACAATTTAAAAAAAAAATTTTTTTTCTAAGTAGCCTCCATGCCCAATTTGGGGCTCAAACTCACCACCCTGAGGTCAAGAATCACATGTTCTACCAACTGAACCTCTAGGTTCCTCTTTCAAGATTTTATTTTTAAGTAATCTCTACACCCAACATGGGTTTCGAACCTACAACCCCGAGATCAAGAGTCACATGTTCAACCGACTAAGCCAGCCAGGTGCTCCAAATGCTGTACAATTTCTAATATCAAGAAGTAAGTGATAGACATACCTTATATTTATAGTTTAGACATAGTAAGGCTGCTCTCTTGACCTGTGCAAAGTATTTTAAATACTTTTATACACTTATATACTTTTAAATACTCATATACAACTATACCCATTCAGTGATTTATTCAGTGGACAACTACTGAACAACTACTGTATTCTGGGCATTTGCCAGGCGCTGGTCATACAGGGCAGTACCACGAAAAGGAACTTTAGTCTTGTGGAGAAGAAGGGAGGTAAAACCAGAATAAAAATACCACATACAAGACGGTGGGGGAAATGATGGAAGGCTTCACATAGAAGAGGAAGCCCCAAGCTGAGACTCTGTATTGACAGGTGACAGCCAGGAGAAGTACAGAGTGAAGGCACTTTAGACAGAGGAAACAGGCTGTGTAATGGCAGGTGACAAAGGGGCAACATTGCACACGTGAACAATGGCGGTGAGTTTGAAATACAGGGAGCCATATATGCACAGCCTAAATACTCACAGAAACATAAGGGGAAGGAGCAGGAAGGGAGAGAGAAGGAGGGGAGAGGAAGAGGGAGGTAAGGAAAGGAGTGTGGGGAGAAGTGTCCTGTGGCCACTGAAGACAAGACCAGTTACAGATGCCATTCTTCAAGGCCAGTTTAGACTTCAGCCAGTATGGCTACACCCTGAGTAACTAGGATGTGAAGATCGTAAGTCTGGGCTATGAAGGTGTTGATACATGGAAATTCTTGCAGTAACAGTTACTAGCCGCAGTGATGTAAGGCACATATTGTGAAACGATACAAATGGGCCTTTTCAAATGAAATATAAAAAGGCCCAGATCAAAGTCATTCCAAGCAGAAGACATGTGGATTGCATTGTCTTTTCCTAGCTTATATATAGATCCAAACTCTTATTTGCTAGGATTATATTTGGATCTGTTATAGAAAATACTAAAATTTTAGCAATCGTTATAGTTAGAAGGAAAACACACATTATTTATTTTTTTTACGTCTGTGCAAGTCCATTTGGGACACAACATGCAGAACAAACACGGACATATTTGACAATGTTTCCTACTTTCCATCTGAACATTTTATTTCATTGTTAGTGTAAACTATAATTATCACTGGTATAATCACAACAATTTTAACATCAGCTAACACATAATGCTTATTACAACACAGGGAACCACTCTAGGGGCTTCACATGTACTAACTCATGTAACTCTAAAAACAACTACATCGAGTAAATACTTTTTGATCTCAACTCTGATGAGGAAACTGAGGTACAGAGTATAACTTGCTGAAGGTCCCAGAGCTTGGACGTGAAGCAGCTGGGATACAAACACTGCAGTCTGGCTCCAGAGCCCATGCTCACTCATTACCACGCTCTGTGGAATCATTAACTCTACAGGTTCTACCCAGCGTTTTCCTCTCCTGAAAACTTCTCCTGTTCTGTGTCAAAGAACTGTTCAATTCATGATTTGATAATCTATCAATATTTATTTCAGGGGCACATAAAGTAATAATTAAACAGCTTATAATTTACAAGTATAGAATTTTCTTATGGCTCGGCTCAAAAAATATTCAAACATATAGTCTAACAGTCACATAAAAATGCTCAAGGTGAAAAAACCTCAACCAAAAATAAGTGGTTTTTGCCAAATCTCTTTTATGGATGAAACCTGAATGCTGCCTGCCAGGCATGTTCGTCATGTAGGCCTGTTCGTGTACCTCTTCCCTGACTTCCTCATCCTCTTGCAATTTTTATGCTGGACTGTTGCCAAGCTGATTATCTCCTTAGCAAATGGCTTGCTTTGCTTTTCTAAGTGCACAGGAAATTCATATTTTTTCTTTTTTGAATACAAAAAAGGGAGAGGATATGATGAATGCAAAAATAACTTAGGTCTGCTATGGAAAACACCACAAAAGTGTGCATAGTGAGAGGACATTGACTCTGATTTGCATCTCTGCCTGGAGGTGAAGGGAAAAAGAACAGGTGAGATTTTCATCCCCTTTCTAAACCATCTCACACATTCTGCCATGAACACAAAGTAACTTCATCCATTTACTCCCGAAAAATTAAGATAAAATTGGGGTAAAGAAATAGGGAAATATATAAAGAAAAATAAAACACAGGTGCCTTGCTTTCTCACTCAGGCAGATATGGAGGAAAGGGCCTTAGGGAAGAAGTACTGAGCCTGCTTCCAAATCCTCAGGGTCTTGTTCATATCCAAAATGTACAAAATGCTTACTCATTGGCAAAACAAAAATGCTATTCAGCCATAAAGAAGAAATTATCCTGCCATGTGTGACAACATGTATGTTCTAGATGGCATTTTGCTCAATGAAATAAGTCAGAGAAAGGCTTACACTGTATGACCTCACTTAGATGTGGAATCTAAAAAAAAAAAAATCTAAATTCAGAAATAGAAAATAGAACTAGAAAAACTCTAGAAATGGTGATATTTGTACACCAAATTACACTCTGACATTTAATAGGGTTCATATATTCAATATGTGATGTATATCCTATATATATTCAAAAGAGATATTCAATAACCCGCTTTCTTCTCAAAGACATTTTATACATTTCAAGTAGAATGAAGTCTTTATGCATCAGAAATTAAACAAGTGAGAACTTAAGAGTACTCCCTCGCTTATTTCTAGTGTCCAAGTAAATTTCAACCTAACATCACCATATACCAATTGCCAATGACCATATCAAGAGGAAAGACAATTCTGAGCCCTGAAAGCATCAAATACTTACTTGCTGAACTCTAGAAATTACACACACTCCTCTCAAATCCATTCATCATTTTATGCACAATTTTGCCAGACTTAGTTACCCCTCAGTTTTAGATTGAAAAAAGTCAATGTTAAGAGGGAAGGCGGGTAGACACAGGTACTTCAACAACAGGGCTGATACCCCAGCAACAGGCTCAGTAATGACATCTATTCCATTCTGGAGAGGTTTCCATATCAGTTGGTAAATAGCCACTATTGCTGGGTCCGCCAGTTGCCCCCTTATCACCGCTTAGGACTCTCTCCCACATTTCCCCAAATCCTTCCACAGTACAGCAGCTGAACAATGAATGCCTAGCACAACAGGAGTCTTCTGAAACCATGCTCCAGCTCTGCAGCCAGCCTCTGTTGCGTCTTGTCAGTATCCTTACCGTACTTATCATCAAATAGTACAGTCTAGGGAGTCTGATCAATTAAGAATCGATAACTGACAAGTGAGGAGAAGTCAGATGTAACACTAAAAAGAAAATACACTTAGCATAACGTTCTGGCTCCATTTTCTAGAGAAAGGCAACTGACCTAAAATTCCACTCACATGCTCTTCCGTGTACCATTTTCAAAGCAGAAATCAAGTACCGAATTAGATACTTTGAATTACCTTCAAAGCCATCATTATCAATGTCACCGAGATTAACTATAGATTCCCCAAATCTTGCAGCATATTTGTCACTTCCAATGAGCTCTGTTTCCATTTCATTCATTACTGCTCCCTAGACAGAAAAGGGGAGAAAAGGTGTCATCATAACACTCCCTGACAACTTTACACATGATTTACCATCGTAATTGGATACGGATTTTTTTCTAATGCTTCAAACAAGTTGGATAAACTAGAGACTGAGCTTTAGTACCCACATCTCAGTTCAATTCAATAAATATTTATCAAGTATGTCAACACATATAATAGTATGATTAGAGCTCGGGGGACATAAAAATTGTCAAACTCATGATCCCTAGCTTTGAAAACCCAATAAATCATTTTGATAATTCATTCTAACAAATATCTATTGAGTTCCTACTAAAGGCAATGCACTATGCGAAGAGTAAACAAGCAAAAAGGACAAGGCCGTGTGCGTAAGACACCCCCCCTTCCCAAAGAAGCCTCACTACAGGGAAGGCTCAGCCCAAGCATGTAGTGACTCAGAAGTACGAACTGCTTTGTACTGTCAAGAAGCAAGGACAGCGTATCTAATTGTGAAAGCAAGGTGATATCTCATAAAAGCTGATATTCAAGGTGGCTGTTGAAGGGTGGACATAATTTTGATACAGAGTATTATCAGCAGAACAAATTCTGAAGAATTCAGCTGTTACAAACAGTATGTATAATGAAGAGGACCGAAACCCAAACCAAACCAAACCAAACCAGACTGAAATGTTATGGCGTGGTATTTTCAACACTGAGGGAAATTCACTCTCAATTTAAGGACTAGGAAGTCACTGAAGGTTTCTGAGTTGAGGAGTTGGCACAACTGAAGCTGGCCTTTGGAGCCTTAGCAATGAAACATGAATAGGTCAACTGCTGTCTCTTAAATTGGAAGATGAGTTATTATGATAAAACATTCAATAATGTTGCAATAATGAATCATTATAACAACAACTACCAGACCTCTTCCCAAACTCTGATCATGTCACTCTTATGTAGTAAGAAAAAAAACACCTACACACTACTCATCATAGAGGATCCTTTCCTCTTCTTAAACAAGTCTATTCAACATTCCCTAATCACACACAAGTTCTTCTGCTTGTGATTGTGAAACACCCTTCACCTTTTGTTTTCCAACTAAAATAAACTCCTAAACTTGTTCAAATACTTCCTCTGTGAATCCTCCTAGACCAAAGTGATTTGCTTCTTCTGCTTTGTACATGCTGCTAATGTGCTATTTACCATGTTGTATTCAATTCTTTACTCTCATGTTTATGTCTTTTCTGGACCTGAGGTCTTAGAGGTCAGGACTAAGATTATTCTCAGCTATTTTCATAGTTTTTGTTCCATTTCAGATACTGTTTATTTTTTTTTTTTTTTAATGAATTATCTCTACAGACAGAATCACCGGCACCAGGAACAGTAAATGATTTTATCAAGAAATAAGGGATGAGAGAGCTTGCGAGGCTCCAAAGGAAATGCCTAATTTAAGGAGAAGGGAGAAAGGGCTCCCAGGAAGATGAGAAGGTGCAGACCAATGGCACTGGAGTTCCCAGGAAGAGGGTTTCAAGAAGTGGTGATCACTCTTCAAGTATTCTCCAGTCAGAGAACGGTGGCCAAGAGTTCTTTGGGGACCTCTCAGAGTTATTTTAATAGAAGTAGGTGGAAGCAAGATTCATTGAAGTATCATTCTTTCGAGTTCATTCAAAAAACAATTATTGAGCACCCATTTCTCCAGTACTCTTTCAAACCCAAAAGAAACAGCAGTAAACAAGACAGAGGATTCCTCTCCACACGGTGTCTCTACTCCAGTAGAAGAATAGACAATATCAAACCAGATGAATAAATATAGAATATAATGCTAGGTGGTGGTTAGTGCCATTTTAGAGAGTTAACAAATACGAAGTTAGAAGGGAACAAAGAATCACCTACGTCAGAGGTGTTAAAAGCTGAAATCAATTATGCAATTACCTCATATTCAACAGTGGTGCCTCAGGGTAGGCATGAGGGAAGAACAAGAGGGCAGCCTAATGGGTAGGGCTCCTTCCTTGCCCTTTAAACAAAAGAGATACACTTTTATCTGTCTTTCCTATTAGGACTGCTTAAGATTTCAGCGAGAAAAAAAGATCATATATCGCCTTATTTTAGGTGGATGTGATAATTTTTGAAGTGTTTCCATAAAGTTTAGTTATAAGGAGAAGGAAAAGTATGCAGAATGAGGATGTAGCTAGTATAAGAAGACCATTTATGGATAGGGAAATGCGAAAGGTCTTTACAAAAAAAAAAAAGAAAAAAGTAAAGCCTAATATTGCTATTAAGGACATGTGAATGATCACTTTGTGGATGGTATTGCTTTACTACTAAATTTAAGTTTAAATACAGTCTATGGAAATCCCCCTTCATAAATAACTTTGCTGCTATATCTGGAACTTTGAAAATCTCTTAGCTTTGGGCGCCTGGCTGGCTCAGATGGTTAAGCGTCTGCCTTCGGCTCAGGTCATGATCCCAGGATCCTGGGATCGAGTCCCGCATCGGGCTCCCTGCTCCTTGGGAGCCTGCTTCTCCCTCTGCTTCTCTCTCTCTCTCTCTCCCTCTCTCTCTCCATCTCTCATGAATAAATAAATAAAATCTTTAAAAAAAAAAAAAAGAAAATCTCTTAGCTTTATAAGACAGTATTTTCTCTTTTGAATCATAACAGTGTTTAGTCTGATGCTTAATATAGGAACTTATTAAATGCTCTAAAACCATTAAGATTACAAATACGTTCTTGAAACAGATTTTACTTTGTTGAATCCTGACTAAACATGCTGTGCCTTAAGAAATGACCCAATTGTCTCACAAATCCCTTCTTGCTCTTAAATCAAAGGAACAGACCAAGAAGACCCCATTAAGGCCCTATCAATTCTTTGTTTTGATTTAATGCCAAGAAGATAGACTGGCAAGATAAGGTCCGCAGAACTCTTCAAATTGAATTGTGAAGTGGTCAGTTTCTACTCCACAACATCCCCCATAATCTAAAACTCAACCGTAAGTGGTAATTACCTATTTCTACAACTACTATATCCACTTTGGAATAAACTATGCCCATTTTATATTCTTTTCAGGAATATCATCTACAAATATTGTGCAAACTAACATCTTATGGTTTCCTACTGTTTCCAAATCAATAAAAGCATCTCGTACTTTATCTTCTCCTTCTGGTAATATTTCTAATTAAAGACATTCACGACAGAACCAATAATAAATCCACATTTTGAGGGATATAGAAAAATCATTCTTTCAAATTAGATTTGGATCATAATAAAACTAAAAGAAACTCCAACCACTTGAAGGACAAGGTGTGAGTAGGAAAAAACCAGAACAATTGATCTCCTGCTTCTGGAATATCGACAGCTTCCCATCCCCCAGCATGTTCCGCTTTTAGAGCATTAGTACAATACCAGAGTTTTTACTTTCATCAGTAAAATTAGCCTAAGGATCTAGATACAGAACTCTGGAATAAGAACAGCTTCAGTTTCTATCTTAATCCCATCAACAGCCTCTAGCTGGTGAGCAATTGGACTTACCCAGCCAGAGTTGATGTATACGAACACTCTGCCTTCCTCCCTGATGATGCTCTGCATGGGAGCTCCCACGAGTAGGTCTGAGAAGCCATCTGCATTGAGGTCCACAGCACACACAGAAGCTCCAAAGTAAGAACCAAGCTGCCCGAAAACAAAACCAGATCCAGTCACCAAGGAAAAAAAAAAAAGCAGAGTTATTCACAAAAGCCCTCAGGGATACCAAAGATGGAGACATTACCTTTTTTCCTTTCACTTCATATAAGATATTTAGTTCTTTTGCATCGATGCTGAATATGTATGCCTGCAATTGGGAAAGGAATTAGAAAAACTCAGACTGCTAGCACATTAAAAAAAAAAAATCTTCAGGGGATCAAAACATCAATTTTCGTAAAGTGTAACCGCTCACAAAGATTTTTGAAAATCCTTTTCAGAGTGATTCAAGAGGTTTAGGTGAAGCACATTCACATTAACAGGACTTCCTTGCCAAACTGTCTTCTCAGGAACGATGGTATTGATCCCCGAGGGCATGGCAAGTGTTGTTTGCCTCACTTTTCAAAGTAAGGCTCAGAAAAGTTTAGTAATGTCCACACAGTAATGTAACAAAAACCAGAACCAGAAATAGCATCTTCTTTCTGGTCTTACCCCAAAACATGCAGCTGTCTCAATATCCCATCGTCTGTAAACTCGCAAACCAGTAAATACATTCCCTGGACATCTTGAGATCATCTTATTTCAAGAACAATTTACTCACAAGAAAGAAAAGCCTCATTTGACTTATAGAATTTCTCCTTAAAGCTTTTCTAATAAAATTTTATCTAAAAGTCATACAACTTTCACCACGAAATGCAGTTTACTGCTTATCATGCCTAGCCTTCACTTCTTACCATCTTTGGCAGTCCTTCCTTCACCTTTCATGCAATTTCCTCACAAATAAATGTAAAAATGTAATTCTTACTTTACCAATCTGTTCATGTTGAGGGGCTCCTCCAACTACTTCAGTCGTATGTGGACTCCGAAAATGACCAGCTCCAACTGAGTATCCTTCAAACAAAGTGGAGAAAAGTAGGAGAATCATCATTTACGATGGGTAAACTGTATCATCATAAATCCACTCATAGAAATAATTGAGACTGAACTCCAAATGACTAAACAGTTTTAAGATATTTAGCTTAGCAATATTCAAAACTGGCCATTTATTCTATGCTTTAAGCAATCATTAGTATGCGTTATGAAACTAGGCCCATAGATGGGACGCCTGGGTGGCTCCGTCAGTTAAGCGTCTGCCTTCGGCTCAGGTCATGATCCCAGGGTCCTGGGATCGAGTCCCGTATCGGGCTCCTTGCTGAGCAAGGAGCCTGCTTCTCCCTCTGCCTGCCTCTGTCTACTCTCTCTCTGATAAATAAATAAAATCTTAAAAAAAACTAGGCCCATGGCTTACATTTCCAAGTACTAGAAATTAAAGATAGCACTTTTACATTTGGTTAGTCTCTATGTAGTACAAGGACATGCTAGCCTCTAGGATTACAACCAAAATATTTTAGGTATCTAAAATAGAACATTTTAAACTTTAAGTAAAAGAACTTCCTAAACTTCAACTTTTTTGCCATGAAATCTTCCTATTGTAATAAACCTGTATGACACAAAAGGTAAAATATTTTATTATATGACAAAAGGCATAATACTATTTTTTTTAAAGATTTTATTTTATTCATTTGCGAGAGAGACAGAGAACAAGTAGAGGGAGAGGCAGAGGGAAAGGGAGAAGCAGACTCCCTGCTGAGCAAGGAGCCCGATGTGGGACTCGATCCCAGGACCCTGGGATCATGACCTGAGCCGAAGGCAGACGCTTAACCATCTGAGCCACCCAGGTGCCCTAAGTTATTTTTTTAAGATTTATTTGGGAGAGGGAGAGAAAGCATGCACATGAGCAGGGGGAGGGGCATAGAGAGAGGGAGAGAAATCCTCAAACAGACTCCCTGCTGAGTGCAGAGCCCAATGTGGGGCTTGATCCCGGGACCCCGAGATCATGACCTGAGCCGAAACCAAGAGTTGGATGCTTAACCGACTGAGGCGTCCCCTAATTACATTTCTTACAACACTTCAAGATATCCTTCAACCATAAACAAGTAAATGTTGAATTATAAATGAATTCCCTCTGAAAATGAATTCTTACTGTATGAATGGGAAAAAGGCTGCTTTTTCTTATTGTAATTATTTCTGGGTATAGGCTGCTTACATTTGAAGCACACGGCTTAAACAAATCTGTATTTTCTAATACAGGAAATGCTATAGGAAAAGCATCCCTTTTACTGTAACAGAGGAATTGTACCAGGAAAATCTTGGGTTTCTGTAGAAATACAGACTATAAAGTGTCCTATTGCACACGAGGAGGAGGAAATGGAGGGGGAGGAAGAGGAGAAAGATAAGAATAAACTCTGGGAAATATTCTAAGAACTTACGAGGTGAAGGTCAATGAGCTGTTTTTAGACCCGTATGCTTCATAATGTTACCCATTGTCTAGAATGCTGTCGACAGCCCCACTGACTTTCACTTGGCCCTTTAAGAAACTATACTGACTCATACATGATTAAATGAATTCATGTGGAGTGCTTACAAAAAGTTCCTGGGATATGGTAAGCACTCAACAGATGCAACCCTTACAATAACAAGTTGACTACATAAAGATACGAGCTTATAAGAGTAAACTAAACCCAGAGTTCTAGTCTAACTATATATTAATGATTGTAATTACATATGTAAAATACTAAGTTTCATAGATTATATCCTTAAAGCGATAGTTTCTGAACTCTTTAACTGTTACTGGCCATTCTGATCTTTTGAAGAGACTAGTAATCATAAATAAGGAAAACTTGTATCTGTAAGACTGAGATGACTGGAGTTTGACCATTTTTACAGTACCTAAGTAACTTCCAAATTTTACTTGATTATTTGTGTCTAAGAAAGCCTTGTATTTATTTGTAGTTATATTGTAGACAAAAAGAGAGCCAGTCCAATAAGACGATCCTGGGGCTCCCATCACAATTAAATCCTGTAAGAAAAAAAACAATTTATCATCAATTCAAAGTTTAATCCACCCAAAACCTCCTCCAGATATACATTTTAAGTAAATAATGATGAGAATACATTTTTATAATACATTTCTAAAATCTGAACATTTGATGAATTTAAAAACATAGAAGAAAAAAGCCAGAGAAGCCAGTTAATGACTTTTCACCTATAATCACAATTTCAGAAAAGAAACTCACACTTAGCAGTGGACTTTAAATTGAAGCAAGAATCATAGAATTCTAGACTAAGCTTTTAGGAGACAGGCAATGTGGTTTCTGTTAAAGTGAATCGTATCTGGGTAATTCATTAGTGCTTATTATGGAGAGAATCACATGTTGCCAAAGAGTAAAAAATGGACTTAATTTATTCCTATTTGCAAAGAGCCATTGACTAGTTTTCTTAACAATGTTAGCTTAGAAAAAAATAAATACAGTGGAATTTGGGGCATATTTGGTGATAAATCCAAATTTAGGAAAAGGAAACATAGGGAAATTTAAAATGAACAGATACATTTGTCTGGTGAAATATGGTAACTTTTAGCAACCAAAAAGTATTCAACATATATCTAAATTTCCTAAACAACCCTGAACTCTTAAAAAGGTCAGTTTAAATATAAAGATTTTTTTTAAACACGGTAGGTAATATTTATGGAAATTGTTAACCCAAGGCCTGACCACAGATTCAGAAAACATTCATAAATTCTTAATGGGTTTTGAAGGGAAACTGGGAGACTTGGGGGTTGGATACAACTATGACCTTTGATTGTATATCCTTGAGTGTTAGAGAAAAAAAATAGAGCTTGGGAATATGTTTAACTTAAGACAATATTAAGGTCTTAAATCTCTCAATTCTCATAATTTAAATGAGAGATGTAGATTCATATGCTTCTTTTCTCCCTCAACTAGTAATTAAAAGTAACATATTTGGATAGAAATTTTAAGCATCTAAATTAAAGCAAATAGCAATAGCTACTTTTGATTCCTATTAAATAATGAGCACTGGGTGTTATATGCAACTAATGAATCATTGAACACTACAAAATCTAATGATGTACTACATGTTGGCTAACTGAACATAATGAAACTTCTTGATGCAGGTAATGTTCTTTAGTGTAGACTTTTAGTTGATCTTACATGGCACAGCCATCTTAAATATTAACTTTTCAAAAATATATGTGGAATATTGAGTAGTAAAAATTAAGTTGTAATATACTCAAGTTTAAGAGACATATTATTCAGAGATTATACAATTTTTTTTTTTACTGTAAAGCATAATACCACAGTCTCAATCGTAAGAATTAAAATCCTACATGTAAACATTTAAAGAGCTATTTTTTGGACTAGTACCTCTGTGTAAAAACTAGATATTCCAGCTTGACATGATGCAAAATTTTCTCCAAATTTTTTCACATAATCTAAAATGAAGTAGACAAACAATTCAGGATTTCATTGAAAAATAGGCAAAATTTGCATAATTTTGTTAATCTTGCAAATCCTTACAAATACACCTTTTAAGGTTGATATTTTATACTATCTCATTTTTAAAACAGTCACTTTGATAAAATGTAATATCACCAATCTTTCATATTAATCCTCAAAGATATTCCTCCAAAATGGCAATCAAAATATTGACCTCTGCCTCTTTTTCATGGGAAGAACATGCAGCCTATGCTCAAAAAAAACTGTCAAATGAGTATCGAAGACAGATGTAGGACTTGCAGCTTCCAGTCCAGGTTTGCATTTAAAATAGGCTTCCTAAATTGTGGCCAGCTGAAAGGAATAGTGAGTCCAGATCTGCATGGAGATGGAGGGTCTCCAATACAAAGCCCCCATGAATTGGATGCTTTTGGAACTTACTAGGAAGACAAAGCTCTGCTTCTCCTGAAGAACTGACCTAAGTAAACCTCTACAAAAATAAGAATCAGGACCACATCTTTGTTTTGGCTTTACTAACCAGAAAAGTTAAATAAATTGTTAAGTCATTTGTAATTACTAGTCCTGGCCATGATTTTTCCACTCCTTTTTAGATCTTCCTTGACTTTTTCTTTTTTAAATAAATTTCCCCATAGTCTTAGGTGCTATAAGTTTATGCCGTTGAATTTTTTTTTTTTAGAATGTGGCCGGGTGTATCCGAACAACAAAAAAAATTCTATGAAAATGTTTTAAAGTGTAAACCATAAACCATTAAGAAAATGAGAATGATAAACATACAGAACACTAGAATGAGTTTTATTTCAATTAAGAATTTAAAATTCACCTTTTGTCTTCTTGACACTCAAAGGCAAATCAGAGATATATTAAATGAGCTTTTCTAAGACATCACATACCACAGAGGACCCCAATATGAATAGAATAACTGAATTTGCATACATGGTCAAATTTTGTCAGGTAATAGAAATGTTCTTTGGACACTGTGGTAATTATCTTGGTTAGAAAAACGTGGAAAATGGAATACATACATATTTCTTAGTTTTCCAAAGACACATTTTTAGAATTTTAGTTCTGCTACAGATCTGTTTTTAATGCTCTGTTGACATTCACCCCTAATTTTACTCACTTAATTATTTATGGCCTAGCTCTGCATATACTACTGCTCCTAATGGCCTAGAATTTTCATGGGAAATCTTTTCAAACTTAAGATACCAACCCCTTATCAAGGAATGCATATGAATTTTAAAAACAAAAGAAAGACAGTGAGTGGGAAAGATTTGCTTACACTTATATTTGAATCTTTCTGAATATTCTTGGAAGCTAAAGATAAAGCAAAAAATCTAAACAGTTCTCATCTTGTCAGACTTTTCAATCTCAAATTTTCAATCATAATTTCATGACTTTAAGTGTCTGATATATGCTGGGCATTAGACTTACACAGAATTAAAAATATATTTAATACAGAAGTGGGTAATTATCAACTACATTCAAATGTAACGACAAATTTCTATTCCTAAAAACACAAAGCACATTTTTTTTGCAACTACTACTGCAATTGAGTAAGAAAAGGAAATACTCTGAGTAGTTAAAAAGAATACAGCTATTTTAAAGATCTCTCCCCCATCCTCTGTACATGCAAAATTGAAAATTGAAAAAAATAATTAAAGGCATTCACTTGTTTCTCTTGATCCAGTTAATATCAAAAGGATTCCTTACCTTGATAGCATGGAGCTATTCTTTTACTCAGTTCTGTTCGTAAATCAGAGGGCATTCCATAGCAAACACCCGTGGGGAGCTTATTTTCATTCTTTATATAAAATATATTTTTCCATCTATGCCCACAAGTCTAAATAAAACATAAAAGTAGACCAAATGATGTGAACATCACACCCAGAATATCTGAATCCGTGACGTTATCACTGGACTAACCCCTAGTAACCTACCACGATGGAGCCATTTTCTCCCGGCTGTCTGGAAAGCGTGACCCCCAACCACTGATTGTCTCTTTCTTCCAGGCAAGTCTTTCCACAAGGTTCTCCATTAGGGCTACCTATAGCATTTGAAAATAATTTTATCATTAGTTATCTTGAAACCATGTTATTCTAAGATAGCAGAGAAAATAAACATGTTTATCCCCAAGTTTTCTCCTTCAGCCATGTGCAAAATGCCCCTGACTCCTACTTCTCTGTCACCTCACACTCGGCGCACAGGATGGGGTCACCGTGAGTTCTGCTGTGCAACAGGACGGTTCTCTCACCAGGTGGTTTGCGTCTGTAGAAATGGCCTCTAGCAGGAAACCTCAGGTAACCTCATCAGGAGATGGGTGACCAGCATGACTTGGGGGAAGTGAGTGGCGGGAGACCAGTTTAAACCAACACGGGCCATGTGGATGCAACTGCAGTGTCATCTGCGGCAAAGAATTTGCACCTTTGCTACAGGCAACGTTACCAGGGCACTTTTTAAGACATTTCTTACATTAAGACTTTAGGGAAAAAAAGGAGAGCAATGTGGTCCTCAGTGCTTAAGTCACAGTTTATAGAAGCTGGAAGGTGATAACCGAGCACACGGAAGGTCACTGTGTCTAATTAGTAATATTAATAATGCCTAGCATTTAAGACACACTGCCCTATGGTTTATATTTAGTTTATTGTGACTATTTTGAACAAAATAAAAAAGACCTGAAAAACCAGATTATTTGAGTAGTGAATAAAACACATCAAAAGGCACTTTGGCAAATGCATGAAGAGCCAGAAAGCCAAACATATGTTTACTGCTGGGCAATAGAGCACTTCTAAACTGTACAGAGAAAAAGTGATCTTCCCAATGATAATTTCTTTCTTTTGTTAGAGCGACTTCTTTGCTTTCTAGCTGGGATCCCATTAACGTGATTTCAAATAAGTGATTTTGAGGGAGAGTAAGATATAGTACCTTAAGAATCCTTTTGCTGACTTTCTTCCCACCATCTTCAATTGCCCTGTGACAGTTCCATTCCACCTGAGCTTAATTCCAAACGTAATTACAGTTGCATCAGCCTGGCTGGATAAGGATGTGGAACGTGGGTTTGTTTATTTAATTTGAACACCAGTCACTGGTACCACGTTATCATACGTTTTTAGTGACCATTCTTTAAATCATTAGGCACCCTGTCTCCTAGAACCTTGACCTCTAGATAAAGCTTCCTGGGCAAACTCCTAATTTATGCCTACATAAATAAGGCTAATATTTTGAAAGTTAAATTAGTTGCAGTAAATGTCCTGGAGACATTTAGTTTGTCCACAAGAAATTTTGTTTTAGGGAGAATAGAAAGATGTTTTGTGTATACATTTGTTCTCCAAAATGATGTTCAGGACAAACAGTAAAACCCTTCAACACAGCTGAACTGAACAAAATTTCCTAGCAGCTTCCCAGAAGATTCTGATTCAGTGGGTCCAGGTGAGGCCCAGACTACCCCAGGTGAGTCTCAGGGTCTGGGATCTTGTTACAATAGAACCAGGATAAGGTTTTTTGTCAGGTTTCTTACAGAATAGGGACTACTTCCACCTCTTGGTAGCAGCTGCCTGGAGCACTGGACTTGAGAACAAGTAAGGAGAGGTCTGAAAAAAGGAATGCTGGGGTTGATAAGCAACGTCAGCCTGGAATGAAAAGGGAGTTTGCTGCAGTCCAAACCTTGATAAAAGGTGGTCCAGGTAGAAACAGAAGGCTTCTTTGTTAAATTAACAAAGGGGGCACCCGGGTGGCTCAGTGGGTTAAGCATCTGCCTTCAGCTCAGGTCATGATTTCAGGGTCCTAGGATCAAGCCCCTCATCAGAATCCCGGCTCAGCGGGGAGTCTGCCTCTCCCCGTCCCTGCTGCTCCCCCTGCTTCTGCTCTCTCCCTC